AGTGAGCTATGATCGTGCCACTGCACTCTAGCCTGGGCATAGCCTGGGCAACAGAGACCCTGTCTCTCAATAAATAGAGAATCAAAAAAAAAAAAAAAAAAAGGAAAGGAAGAAAAGCTTAGGCCCAGGTAGCTTCACTGGTGATAACTTTTTTTTTTTTTTTTTTGAGACAGAGTCTCAGTTGTGCTGCCCAGGCTGGAGTGCAGGGGCACGATCTCGGCTCGCTGCAACCTTAGCCTCCTGGGTTCAAGTGATTCTTGTGCCTCAGCCACCTGAGTAGCTGGGATTACAAGTGAGTCACCACACCTAGCTAATTTTTGTATTTTTACAAAAATACAAAGTTTACAAAAATTTACAGGTTTTCTCCATGTTGCCCAGGCAGGTCAGAAAATAACTTTTATCGGCTGGGCGCAGTGGCTCACCCCTGTAATCCCAGCACTCTGGAAGGCCGAAGCAGATCACCTGAGGTCAGGAGTTTGAGACCAGCCTGACCAACATGGCAAAACTCCATCTCTACTAAAAATACAAAAATTAGCTGGGCGTGCTGGCGGGCGCCTGTAATCGCAGCTACCTGGAGGCTGAGGCACGAGAATCGCTTGAACCTGGGAGGCAAAGGTTACATACAGTGGGCCAAGATTGCACTACTACATTCCCGTCTGGGTGGCAAAGTGAGACTCTGTCTCAAAAAAAAAAAAAAAGAACTTTTATCTCCAGGTTCTGCCCGGCGCGGTGGCTCACGCCTGTAATCCCAGCACTCTGGGAGGCGGGTGGATCACAAGGTCAGGAGATCGAGACCATCCTGGCTAACAGGCGTGGTGGCAGGCGCCTGTAGTCCCAGCTAATCGGGAGGCTGAGGCAGGAGAATGGCATGAACCTGGGAGGCGGAGCTCGCATGAGCTGAGATGGCGCCACCGCACTCCAGCCTGGGTGACAGAGCAAGACTCCGTCTCAAAAAAAAAAGAATCCAAGTTCTTTTAAATGATCAGGGCCCAATGAGATATTAAAATGAGATCGTAATCACTTCCTACTCCCCCTTTTTGAGCTATGACTCATCTATCAAAACTGCTTGCTATTGCCACAAGTGAGTAAGGATTAATCTAATAATGCCCTACCTGACGCTATATCCTACATCCTATAGCTTAACAATGTACAGCCAATCACTAACCAATGTTATTTCTGTAAATCAATGAGAATTCTTGATAAACGACTTTGTATGAGTCCCACTCCCTGTCCACATTTTTTGCCTTTAAAAATCAAGTAAACTCTTTAAATCATATTTTGTGTGTTAGCCTCTCCCTTGTAGGTCAACACTTCTATAAAATACTGTAAAAAGAAATATTACCAACTGGGTATGGTGGCTCACACCTGGAATCCCAACACTTTGGGAGGCCGAGGCTGGTGGATCACCTGAGGTCAGGAGTTCAAAACCAGCCTGGCCAACACGGTGAAACTCTGTCTCTACTAAAAATACAAAAAAATTAGCTGGGTATGGAAGCGCTCCCCTGTAATCACAGCTACTTAGGAGGCTGAGGCTCGAGAATCACTTGAATCTGGGACAGGGAGGCTGCAGTGAGCTGAGATCATGCCACCACACTCTAGCATGGGCGACAGAGTGGGATTCTGTCTGCACTCCAGCCTGGGTAACGGTGAGACTGCGTCTCAAAAAAAAAATAAAAAAATATTAAGAAGATCTACAGGAGAAAATTTCTCAAATCTTGGGTTAAGATAAAGAGTTATTAGATATGACACTAAAAGCACAATACATAGGATAAAAAACTGATACATTTAATTTCATCAAAACTTAAAACTTGGCCGGGCACGGTGGCTCAAGCCTGTAATCCCAGCACTTTGGGAGGCCGAGACGGGCGGATCACAAGGTCAGGAGATCGAGACCATCCTGGCTAACACGGTGAAACCCCGTCTCTACTAAAAAGTACAAAAAACTAGCCGGGCGAGGTGGCGGGCGCCTGTAGTCCCAGCTACTCCGGAGGCTGAGGCAGGAGAATGGCGTAAACCCGGGAGGAGGAGCTTGCGGTGAGCAGAGATCCGGCCACTGCACTCCAGCCTGGGTGACAGAGCCAGACTCTGTCTTAAAAAAAAAAAAAAAAAAAAAAAAAAAACTTAAAACTTTTGTGCTTCAAAAGGCACTGTTTAGAAAATGAAAACACAAGTCAGTCAGGGGGGAATCTTTGGAAACCATATCTATAATAAAAGACTTGTACCCAGAACACACAGACAACTCTTACAACTCAGTAGAAGACAAACAGCCCAATTACAAAATAGGCAAATGATGTCAATAGATATTTCACCAAAGATCTACAAATGGGTAGTTAGCCCATGAAAAGGTGCTCAGTATTATCAGTCTTTAGGAAACCACAATGAGATATCACTACATGCCCACTGGAATGCCTATAATCAAAAAAGACAAGTGTTGTCAAGGTTATAGAAAAAGCAAAACCCTCATACACTGAAGGCAGAAATATAAAAGGTGAAGCCATTTTGGAAAAGTTTGGTAGTTCTTCAAAATGTTAGAGTTAAGATATGACCCAGCAACTCCATTCTTAGGGATATACTCAAGAAATGAAACGTATGTTCACACAAAAACTTGGGCATGAATGTTCGCAGCAGCATTATTCACAAAAACTCCAAACTGGAAACAATCTAAATGTCTAGAAATAATGAACAGATTAATAGAATGTGTTATATTCATTCAATGGAATTCTATTTAGCAATAAAAATGAAGTACTAATACACACCATGACTTGGCTGAACTTCAAAAACATGCCGAGAGAAGCCAAACTCAAAAGACTACCGTACAAGACAGAAAACAGATCACTGGTTGCCTAGGGCAGGAGGTGGGAGTGGGGATTTAATATAAATAAGCTCAAAGGAACTAATTGGGGTGATGGAAATGTTCTAAAACCGGACTGTGGTAATGGCTATACAACTGTACATTGGCTAACAATCATTGGCAATATGTTTACAATGGGCGACTTGTATGGTATATAAACTGTAACTCAATGAAGGTGCTAAGAAAAAGGGTGAGTAGAACTTAATGTTGCAGGTGTCTACTTAGATTTCATATAAATGTGCGAGAAGTGAGGAGAACAGGGAAGTGAAATGGGTCGTAACAGTGCCACTGTACACTCGCATACACATAGCAGACAGTTCACTTTTTAGATCACAGTGGTTTTCTGCTTCAAGATCCAGGGCAAAGGTCACCTTTTTGTGCACCTCCAACTCTTAAAACATTCCTCAGCACTGCATCCTTTACATTACACTGGAACTGTTTTAGTGTCTGCCTCCTGGACTAGACTGCAAGCCTTTCCAGGGAAAGGGCAGTATCTTCCTCTGATACTCCAGCTCTGAAGCCCAACCAATTCTGGGTCGAGAGCAGACATCCGTGAATGTTTGTCAAATTAATGAAAGGAAAATTGGGGTAGAGCAAGGAAACTACCAAACAAGTTTGAAAGTAGGAGAGCCGGGTGTGGTGGCTCATGCCTGTAATCCCAGCACTTTGGGAGGTCAAGGAGGGCAGATCACTTGAGGTCAGGAGTTCGAGAACAGCCTGGCCAACATGGTCAAACCCCATCTCTACTAAAAATACAAAAATCAGCTGAGCATGATGGTGGCCGCCTGTAATCCCAGCTCCTCCGGGGGCTGGGGCAGCATAGAACTGCTTGAACCTGGGAGGCGGAGGTTGTGGTGGGATTGTGCCACTGCACTCCAACCTGGGTGACAGAGGGAGACTCTCTCAAAAAAAAAAAAAAAAAAAAAAAAGAAAAAGGAGAGAGGGCCCCAGAAATGGTGTCTGTGTGTATATATTTATATATACACATATATGTAAATATACACATACATATACACATACACACACATACCATTTCTGGGGCCCTGCCTTTCTTTTTAATATATATATATAAACTTAGGAGACAGGCTAGACTTGTTTCTAAATTGGAGAATTATATACCAGGGTATAGGTCTGTGTATCACCCCTCATTTAAACATATCTTCCTTAGATATGGTCCAAATTTCAATTTTATCCAGGCAGTCAGTTGACAAATAGCATATTAAACTTTCCATGACAAGTCTACTCAGCAAGCAAACAAATCACTGGAGAAATCTGATTTCCCTCCAGATACCTGACAGGGTTAGCAGAGAAGCCCAGATAGAGTTCTTGTACACTTGGGTTAGCATTAAGCAGCTGGCTCTGTAAAGGACGGTGAAGGGAGTCACACAAGAAGGTCAGAACAGCTCTTTCCCATCCTTCTCTTTTTTTCATCCCATCTTACCCAGTCTCAGGTCAAGTGCGCAGCAAGCTGGCACACTTCGGCCCAGAAGTGACCCCTGGCGTGGCTTTGCTTATACTGTTCTCAGCAACTTTGGGTCAAGTGTAGGACACAAAGAAGCTGGAGTCAAAGCGAACCCAGACCAGTTTCTCAGGCTCCTTGTCCCCACCTTAGAATAAGGAACCCAGCAAGTAGAAGCCAGAGAGCTAAAAACGGGTAAGCCACGGCTCAGTCACCAAGACCAGGAGGAACCCGGGGGTAAGGAGAAGGCCTTCCAGAGCCCTCGGAAGTGTGGGGCCTGACAGAAGGGAGGCAAGAGGCTCTACGAGGAAATCTGGAGATTGGGACGATGAGGAGTCAAGGAGTGGTGAGGGGCACTCGGCTTGAATTACGGGGATGGCAAAGACTGTGGGTCTCCGACAAGCATAGGGATGACAATCTTCGAATTTGGGAAAAACTACGCTGTGGTGACTGATGAAGGAGGAGGGGAAAAACTCAGGGCCTGAGCGTGAGCGGCCGTGATCACCCTCAGCGCGCTGGGGGCCCGATTCTTGGGGTGCCCGCGCCTGAATGGGGAGCACAAGTCTGGGGGTCCCGGAGCGCAGCACGCAAGGAGGCAGGCCAGGGGGTGTAACCGCAGGCGCTTCCGCAGCTCCCCGCGAACCGCGCAGGCGGGTGAGGGGCTTCCTGCCTCCAAAGCCCCCGACTCACCTTCCTCCCTACCCACCGGCTGGGCACCGGACACGGCTTCCCACAGGCGGCGCGCCCTCTCGCGGTCAAAGCGCACCCCATCCGGCTCCTGGCCCTCTAGCTCCTCCGAGCTGTTGTAACGCCCGGCCCCTCCGCCGTCTGCGGCCTCCACTGTGGCCGGCGCCGGATACGCCATCTTCCCCGCAAATCGTCGCCGGTGGAGAACCGCTCAGGCGCCTAAATATCGCGAGATTGGGGAAGTGGTACTTGGTCCGGCCAACAAATCTCGCGAGGTTTCGGCGCTGCCGTGCGGTACCTGGCGCTTATTTTGCTTTGCTACCTCTGGTACCCCAGAGCGTGTGGTGTGGATTCGGAAACCTGTCGCTGATTCCGCAGCAGTGACACCCCCTCCCGGAGGGGCTAGTGCGGTTTTGGCTCAGGGCTCTCACCTTGCTCACGGTCAGCCCTTGATACTTTTCATTTCGTTCTCAAGGTCCCGTTATGTGGGAGTGTTTTCGCCATTTCATTTACAGGGAAACTGAGGCCCAGAACCTAGAAATGGTTAACTCAACAGTTCGCTGCTAGTAAGTAGTAGTACAGCTGAGGTTCCGTATTACTAATAATAGATACTACTTGTTGAGTTCCAAGTGCCGGCTCCCAGCTCTGATTTTCCGAGACTCCGGACCTGTACACATCCAGTTGCCTCTTCCACAGTTCACTCAAATGGCTAATAGGCTTCTCCAATGTAGCTGTCAGACCCCAAATTTTATCTTCCAACCCCAGAGCTGCTCCTTCCCGTGTCTTTGGGAGCCATCATCTCTTGCCTAGGTTATTGTAGTAGCCACCTCATTGGTATTCACAGTACAGCAGTCCCAGGGATCCTCTTATAACAAGTCAGATCATGACACTTAGGTTCTCAAATCCTCCAACAGCTTCCCATCTCACTGTTAGTAAAAGCCAAAGTCCTTACTTTGACCAACAAGGCCCTGTACAATCTGACTTCACTTAACCTCCCTGATCCTGATGTGTCACTCAGTCTCCAACTCCTTAATTCCTGTCCCGGTTACACAGGCCTCCTGGGGTGCATTTCTCCCATGTATCTTCATGGCTCAGTCTCCCACTTCCTTCTCTAGCTACTGTATCTAAAATACCTTCTCTGGCTATCTCATCTAAAATGTTACTTTTCCACACATACTTCATGTCCTCCTTTCCTGCTTTATTTCATATATATTTTACTTTTTATCTTGTTTATTGTCTGTCTACCTACTAGAAGGCAAGCCCCAGGAAGGCAGGGATTTTTGTCTATTTTCTTTTCTTTTTCTTTCTTTTTTTGTTTTTTTGAGATGGAGTTTTGCTCTGTCGCCATGTTGGAGTGCAGTGATGCGATCTCGGCTCACTGCAACTTCTGCCTCCCGGGTTCAAGCAATTCTCCTGCTTCAGCCTCCCGAGTAGCTGGGATTACAGGCACATGCCACCGCATCCAGCTAATTTTTGTATTTTTGGTAAAGACAGGGTTTCACTATGTTAGCTAGGCTGATCTCAAACCCCTGACCTCGTAATCGTCCCACCTCCGCCTCCCGAAGTGCTGGGATTACAGGCACATGTCACGCCCAGCCTTTTGTCTCTTTTCATTGCACCCGAATCTCCAGCACTTTGAAATAGAACATGGACCCTCCTAGGTACATACAAAATATTTGTTTAATGAATGAAGTTTTTAATATTACTAGCTTATTTCAACCTCATTTGTTCAAATACGGAGAATTTACTATGAGCTAGATGATATTTTGAGCATGGAAGTATAGTAGTGAACAAGACAGGGAAGCTCTAGTATTTTTTATTGTAGTGGAGTACAATAAAAAAGTTAACAGTAGGCCGGGTGCGGTGGCTCACGCCTGTAATCCCTGCACTTTGGGAGGCCAAGGCAGGCAGATCATGAGGTCAGGAGATCGAGACCATCCTGGCTAACATGGTGAAACCTTATCCCTACTAAAAATACAAAAAAATTAGCCAGGCGTGGTGGCGGGCGCCTGTAGTCCCAGCTACTCGGGAGGCTGAGGGAGGAAAATGGCATGAACCCGGGAGGCGGAGCTTGCAGTGAGCCAAGATTGCACCACTGCACTCCAGCCTGGGCGACAGAGTGAGACTCTGTCTCAAAAAAAACAAAAACAAAAACAAAAAAAGGTTAACAGTAGTAAGTGCTAAGGAGAAGATAAAAGAGGATTGCATCTCAGGTGAATGATGTTAGGAACATTAGTCAGGGTGCTGTCAGGGGAAGCCTCTGGGAAAATGACATTTGAGCTAAGACCTGATTAATGAGAAGGGGTAGCCATGCAAAAAGCTGGGCAAGAGTGTTCTAGCAGAGAGAACAGCAGGTGCAAAGGCCCTGCGGCAGGAGAGAGCTTGATGTGTTGGAGGAACAGGAAAAAGGAAAGCAAGGCTGGAGCCCAGTGAACAAGGGGGAAAGTAGTATCAGACGAGGCCAAAGAGAGACAGATATGAATTATTTTTGCTTGAGATCATATAGCTCATTGGTGTAATGTAGTCATTTATACTACAAGTATTTCCTTATTCATTCTACAAATACTGAGCACCAGCTCTATGTCAGGCCTCAGGCCTCAGAGCTTCCAATTTTCCAATACAGTACGTGACTGATGTTTGGCCAATGCTTTACAACTTTTTTGTTTTGTTTTGTTTTATAGATGGAGTCTCTGTTGCCCAGGCTGGAGTGCAGTGGCACGATCATAGTTCACTGCAACCTCCACCTCCCGGGTTCAAGCGATTCTCCTGCCTCAGCCTCCCGAGTAGCTGGGATTACAGGCATCCATCACCATACCCAGCTATTTTTTGTATTTTTAGTAGAGACGGGGTTTCACCTTGTTGGCCAGGCTGGTCGTGAACTCCTGGCCTCAGGTGATCCGCCTGCGTCGACCTCCTGAAGTGCTGGGAATACAGGCATGAGCTACCACACCCAGCCTGCAATTTTTTTTTTTTTTTTTTTGAGACAGGGTTTCACTAGTGTAGTGGTATGATCATAGCTCACTGTAACCCTGAACTCCCACACTCAAGTGATCCTACTGCCTCAGCCTCCTGAGTAGCAAGGACTACAGGTGGACACCACCTTGCCCAGCTAATTAAAAAAAATATATATATATATATATATTTTTTTTTTTGTAGAGACAGGGTTTCCCTATATTGCCCAGGCTGGTCTCAAACTCCTGAGCTCAAGTGATCCTCCTGCCTCAGCCTCCCAAAGTGCTGGGATTCCTGGTGTGAACCACACACTTAGCCCAGGGCAGTGCTTTACAGTTTGCAAAGTGCCTACATTATAGCATTTAATCCTCAGGGTGGTTTCTGTTAGGGATTTCTTCATAAGTGATGATAAAGAAACAGACTAGGAAAGGTAAAGGTTTTGTCAAGATCACACGGCTAGTTAGGTACAGAGCCCATGCTCGAACACTAGTCCTTAGATTGCAAATCTGTGTCCTTTTGCCAACACCAGATGACCAGCCCAAAAGCCAGTGACTGCACATTACTTATTCTCTTTTTATTTATTTATTTGCTTTTAGAGACAGGGTCTCACTATGTTAGCCAGGGTGGTCGCAAACTACTCATTTATCTTAAAGAAGAGTTCTGGTTACTCATACTTGCATAGCATAAGTTATTCAGGGATAATCCAAGGGATAGAGGGGATTTTTGTTGAAGTGGCAGAAGCCACAGGATATTTTTGAATACTATGTAACAGATCCTGGGAGTGGAGTATGTAAGCTGCTTTGCATATTATTGGAAAACAACCCCTCCACCCCCACCACTCCCAATCCAATTACATGCTCAAAATAATGTCCATTGATTCTCCAGTGAGTGCTGTCAGGGTTCATCCCCTGTGCCATAGAGGCAGAGTCCTGAGCTACCCTGCTGAGGGTCTGAACAGCCCTCATTGTCACCAGTTTTCTATTTGGTCTTTGTGTGAGTGCTTCCAAGAACGGCCCAGACCTGGACTCCTTGCTGGGACCTGGCAGTGCAGGTGATGCCTTATATTTGTTGGGCTGGCTTTTTATTTCCTCCTTGTGGAAAATGAGAACCATTTTCCAACACATCCTACTGTGTATTGTTGCCATGGGAGATGAACAATCCCAGGGAAATGGCTTTGCTAAGGGACAGGAACTGGCTACAGTTCAGCATACATTTCAGTTGCTTAAATACTGACTCTGTGTGTGCATGTGTAAACTAAACTATAGGGCTTAAGATATAGTTCTTGCTCTCAAAGAGATTAAACTATAGTTTTTCTTTTCTTTTTTTTTTTTTTGAGATAGAGTCTCACTCTTGTCACCCAGGCTGGAGTGCAATGGTGCGATCTCGGCTCACTGCAACCTCCGCCTCCCAGGTTCAAAAATTCTCCTGCCTCAGCCTCCCAGGTAGTTAGGACTACAGGCGTGCACCACCATACCAAGCTAATTTTTGTATGTTTATTAGAGATGGGGTTTTATGTTTATTAGAGATGGGGTTTTACCGTGTTGGCCAGGCTGATCTCTAACTCCTGATCTCACGTGATCTGCCCGCCTTGGCCTCCCAAAGTGTTGGGATTACCGGTGTGAGCCACCACGCCCGGCCTCAAACTCTAGTTTTTCTTACTCTAGTATGTCTAATCTAGTGATAGACATAAAAGTATCTACTGAGTATGTAATATCAGAGAGTATGTTTTAACTGCTATAACAGAGATAAAGATTAGGCTGGGCACAGTGGCTCATACCTGTAATCCTAGCACTTTGGAAGGCTGAGGTGGGAGGACTGCTTGACCCCAGGAGTTCAAGACCATGATGGGCAATGTGGCAAGACCCTATCTCTACAAAATTAAAAAAATTAGCTGGGTGTGGTGGTGTGTGCCTTTAGTCCCAGCTACTCAGGAGGCTGAGGTGAGAGGATCGCTTGAGACTGCAGTGAGCTGTTGTACCACTACACTACTGCCTGGGTGACACAGCAAGATTCTGTCTCCGAAAAAAAAAAAAAAAAAGGCCAGTGCGGTGGCTCATGCCTGTAATCATAGCACTTTGGGAGGCTAAGTAGGTGGATCACCTGAGGACAGGAGTTCAAATGGTGAAACCTGATCTCTACTAAAAAATAAAAAAATTAGCTAGGCATGGTGGCAGGAGCCTGTAATCCCAGCTACTCAGGAGGCTGAGGCAGGAGAATTGCTTGAACCCAGGAGATGGAGGTTGCAGTGAACTGCGATCGCGCCACTGTACTCCAGCCTGGGCAAGAAGAGT